CATGGTTGGAACGTAGGCTACAGAAATCCTGGATCATGGCAGGACCTGAACTAGGTTCTCCATTGTGGTCAGGCGAGAAGACTGGGAAACAGGCCAGAGGGTGTGAGGGGGGGAGTCTGGAGATGCCTTAAGCAGAGATTGGGAGGAACCTGACTGAGGGGGTCACCACCCTAGATTGCGGGGATCACCACTCTAGAGTGGCAGGTACTTATATAGTCCCTTCCCCTGGCAATGACATGATAGATTGCAAAGGCATGAGATAATGCAACCATCTCAATTTGTCCATTCATTTTCACCTAAAACCACTCAGTTTAACACAAACTGAATAATTAAGGAAACTCAAGCTTTCAAGTATGCCAGACATAACCAACAGAATAACCTACAGTACCATAACTGAGTAACCTTGAACTCTTAGATTGGTAAGACTATAAAGCTCTTGTCTAAAGCGGCAGGAAAAAATGAACTTGGGACCAGATCCTCAGCTGCCAAAAATGGGCATAGCTCCATTGAATGCAATAAACCGTGCTGATTTACACCAGCTGAGGGTCTGGCCCCTTTTCTCTTAAACCGGAGAAGATCCAGAAGGACCAAACAATGAGATTTCAATTCACTTTGGCAGGCATCACCATTTTCATTATAGAAGCAGTTTTTCTGCTTTAATAAACAACTGAGCATGAGGTATTTTCCACTGCAGTTCAAACCAAAGAAAACCCTCTAATTCAATATTAAGAACTTTAAGGCAGAAAATGCCACTTCCATTAAAGCTTCCTTCTTTACTACTAGAAGAGAGGTCTAACTAGACTGAGAGCTAAAAGATGAAGCAGTAAATGGTGTTTAAAGAGATTTTTTTATAGTGTTATTTCAGGACGTTCTCCCTGCAGCCTGGTTATAATTTATCAATAGAAGTTGAAAATTGTCTCCAAAATCATTACGTACTTACTCATCACACATGCTGTCGCTTGGCTTTAAGGGTCTGTCAGTGCTTCCATTCTAAATTCCTATATTCAAAGTTGTATAGTTCAGTCATAAAAAAATAAAAATAAAAAAATGCTCAAGGCTAAGCCATGGCATTCTAGGGTTCCCCGCTGTTTAAAAACAAACTACACCAAAATAACTTATTTTTTTGCCTTCACACAGTTTTGCAGTTCAGGACTTGGCATATTGAATCCTAGGCCAGAGCTTGAAAAGCAATGCTAGTCCAAGAGACTGTTTAAATTGCAACATTTCTTGAATCTACAGATTTAGGAATGAAAGTTAAAGAAATCACAGTAACTGTATTTTTTGAGTTTACGTCCTCTGCATAGGCATACGTTTGGGAGATATACCTCCGCCCCTCCCCCTAAACCTGAGCTTTATTATCCTTCCAGAAAACTATGCTCACACCAGTCCTCCAGTTCCAGATACACATGGATGCCAGGAAGCCTGAAGAGAACAGCAATTACTACGAATCACATGGCAAATGATCCTAGTGCTGTACACAGGCTGAAGAGTAAGACTTTGTCTGGGTAGCAACTGTTGCCTACATAGAAATAAAGGCCCTTCTGGTGTGCCAGTTTTATTGCAATGAGAAAATAGGCAACTTTCAAGTCAGAAGTCCAGAACAAGTCTTAAGAGGCAAGGGCAGGAATGAAGGAATCCAGGATCAGCATGTGGAACATGAACTTCATGATGTAATAGGTCAATTTCTGAAAATTTATAATGGAGCAAAAGCAATCTTTGTATTTTCAGCATGAAGAAATACTTTGAATAGAAGCCTCTCCCCACTATAGCACTGAGGCAATTTCATTGATTCTAAGGCCAGAAGGGTCCACTGTGGTCATCTGGTCTGACCTCCTGTCCCTCACATGCCATAGAACTTCTGTAGCCCCATTCTTAGGACAAAATCCACCTTTGCATTGAGAAGCATCTCATGAGAGGAATACTTGCCAAGGAATTGGGAAGGACAATTCAAATACAACATGAGGTGGAATTTGATCAAGTAACTGAACTGAATAATCTTTAGCAGTCAATAATTCACAGCAATCCCACTCCCTTCTGCAAGGTAGCAGAGCAGATGGTCTGCAAAAGGAGGAAGGGAGGGTCAGGAAAGCCATATGCAAGCTGGTTCTAGGCTCTCAAATAATGCTTTAACCCTCAGGGCTAGCAGGTGTATGGGCAGCTGACATTGCAGCTGCCTCTGTCTGGCATGTTTCTCTTTACCTAGTCTTCTGTTGTCAAGAGTGGGGTTTCTGGACCTGAGAATAGAAACCATCAAGTGAAAGGTGTTGTGTCTTATAACCAAACGAAGATTATGTAATGCATCCTTTGCTCGGCCTCCCACCACTGACCTTGCAATGGACCTGGTTTGTTTTTTGTCTCATTTGCTTAAGAGTTCTCTTCACTATACAAAAGACCCCCCCACACACACACACACACTCTCTCTAATGAGAAGATGTATAACTCAGCTCTTTGCCTCAATTAAGTGAGAGCATGGAGGACTTAATCCAAAAGTAAAGACGACAGATGATGTCTGCCGTAACTGCCCTAAGAGAAGTGTCAGAGCACAATAGGGTGCAGAGAATGCTTGCTTGACTCTGCATTCCCCTAAGACAACCCCTACGTATGCTCCACAGGCAAATGATCTAAGCAGTGGAAGCATCTGATACCAAAGCTGAAAGAGCTATCCTGGCCTGGTAGCTGTCCATACAGATCTGCAATTCCAGAAGAACAAACCTTCCTTCCTTAAAAAACTTGTTCTTCTTTAAAAAGCAACAGAGGGTCCTGTGGCACCTTTAAGACTAACAGAAGTATTGGGAGCATAAGCTTTCGTGGGTAAGAACCTCACTTCTTCAGATGCAAGTAATGGAAATCTCCAGAGGCAGGAGATTTCCATTACTTGCATCTGAAGAAGTGAGGTTCTCACCCAAGAAAGCTTATGCTCCCAATACTTCTGTTAGTCTTAAAGGTGCCACAGGACCCTCTGTTGCTTTTTACAGATTCAGACTAACACGGCTACCCCTCTGATACTTGTTCTTCTTTGTAACTTTACCAGACAGAAAGGAACAACCTGGTTAGAAGCCCTTCATCATCTTTCTAGCTCTTAAGGCAATCACGATGTAAAAGTGGTTGAAGAAATTCTGGAGTTCTTGCCAAGATAGGCAATTGGGAGATAGGCAATCAGCTCTCCTTGGTGCTGCAGGAGCTAATCCTAGCATCAGCCCTATGTCAAGGACATGCCCAGTTCTTTAATCAGAAGAATATTTTCCATTAAGTATTCCTGGGGGAATTCTGCGCCACTGTGCAAGTGCAGAATGCATGTCCCCTTCAGATTTTTTTTCCCTACAGAAAATACATTCTGCCAGAGAGGTGCTGCACTTACACCTTTCTCCCACCAGGTGGTCCCAGAACAGAGAGCAGCCAGCTGACTGGCAGTAGCAGTCAGCGGCCAGCTGTGGTCCTCACAGTGCCCTGTCTGCAGAGCCAGGTTAGGAGGCATGGGATATGCGGGAGAGGGAACAGACAAAGCGGGGCACATGGAGACATGGAGCTACTTGAGGGTCACAGACTAGGATTGGGAAGGGCTAGTAGGGGGGAACTAACTGGGGCAGGGGTGTAATGGGGGTGCAGGGCCACATGGGAATAGGGAGCAAGGGGTGCAGGGCTACATGGGGACAGGGGAGGAGGTGGCTGAATGGGGGTGCAGGGTCACATGGGGACGGAGGCAGGGGGCACAGGACCACATGGGGACAGTCAGGGTACAGGGACACATGGGATTGGGGAAGAGGGGTGCACGGACACATGGGGACAGAGGCAGATGTGCCTGAATGACAGACTAGGGGTCAGCCAGGATCTGCATGGGGGAGACTCCCCAACAATCCCTTCTGCCTTCCAAAAAGCCTTGTTCTATACTTCTCCCACCCACCCACAACAACCCTCCAGATTCATTCCCAGCAATTACTTCCCTCTCCCTCAGCTCCTCCGTTACTCCTGACTCCCCCAATCTGGGAGTTTATGTGACCACCACACCTAGGCCATTCACGTTGAGCTTCCAGCTTCTCAGTCCTCTTGGCACTGCCTAGGAAACTCATTCCATGAGTCTGTTGGTGAAGGGTTGGTGAATAATGATAAGATATTGGGAAGGTGGAAACTGTTGATAGCAGTAGATTGTCCACGTAAAATAGTTTAATGTGCAACCTGTGGTGCATAGTAGCAGGATGCATACTCTGGAAAGTCACAACCTTTACCCGACAGAGAGCCAAGGCTCGACCGCTGGAGGGTGCTGTGTCTGCCCTGCATAGCCTGCTAACTCTGCTATGTTGCTCCTGCCACTGTCCAAAGAGGGTTCTCCACCAGGCGCTTGAGGCTTGATAGTCCTTGATCCATATTATGATTCTTCCAGCCATTTAAGCTCTGAACATTCACCCAGACCATTAATTTCTATATTAAACAATACACTGTTACTGTTTGTCATGATGTACCATGAGCTGCACTAAATTACACCAGCTGAGAATTTGGTCTGTTATTGACAGGAATAAATGACTAAACAAGGTGGAAGTCAGTGGAGAATCAACTCCTTACCCTCATCTTATTCTTTCTCAAATAAGCAGCTCCTTTATTTTCCACTACTGAGGCTGGGAAGCATGCAATGATCTCAGTAGTAATTGCACGTGCAGAACAAATGAATAATGTTCGATAGAGAGCAACAATGTGGATTAGAAAGAAGAATTTTGCTCTAATAAACTGAAATTTTCTTAAAATTAAGCTTTCTTACATCCTGGTAAAAAGCAAACTTTGCCTTGCACAGTCCTGGATCTCAACCAATCACTTCTAATTTCAAATCCACATGTCTCAAAGCTTCAGTGCTTTTCATTATATTTAATAAAATGTTTGCATCACATATTTCAGCTTGGTAGGACTGTGTGTCCAGCTTAAGACACAACCAAGTACTCAACTCCGGCCCAGAAAAGAGCCTCCTTGTATCACTGCTGCCAGCACCAGTTACTGAAAGAATTGATACTCACTGAAACTACATTCACGAAATCATCATCTGACAACGTTTCTAGCATCTCAATGACGGAGGTTCGGATCAACTTCAGCGTCAGTCCACTAACGCTCCCACTCCTGCATAACAGAGATAATTTTAAAAAATGGACTGAATGAGTTCAATTGAAAACATACAGTGGAACTAGATTTTATAAACTGGCTCCCATATTTCCATACTCAAGATTGCTCCAGAAGTGCTTACTCAGCCCCAAGTCTCACCTTTAAGAGTTGCTCTGCAATGGAAGTACTTGCTATAAAAAACAAAAGTTCCAGGGTTGGTCTCCAAGCCATAACTTTGTGGCTCAGAGGAATAGTTCTGTCACCTGACCCATACTGACACATTCTTTCCTCATTTTCAATTCATGATTGCCATGAGAATTTCTCACATGCAAATTATGTGTTCCCTAAATATTCTAGGGCTTTACATTTTCAGGGATCTAAATTGCAGAATGTTTGTTTCAGGGCAAAGCTCAAACTGGGGTGGTGGGGGGAGAGAGGGGTGGAATTGCAAATGCTAATAAAACACACCTCTGCAATACAGAAGTATTTGACTGCATTTAAAAGCATCAAATGCAATCTCTCCCAGTGAGGCAAAGAACCAATGAATAGATTTTTTTCAGTATAAAGCAATCTGTGAGACACTTCAAGCCTGATGGTTCCCCCAGACTCTTGACATTGGCTTAACAAAGGAAATCTTGGCAGGGGTACAGAGAAATGTTTTTTATGAATTTCTTCCCTTAGTCCTCAAACAACATGGAATAAATCTCTGAATATAAATACCAAACCAGGGGCAAATTTATTTATACAATGGGAAATGGCAACTGTAAATTTGTCATAGCATTTTATAACATTATCTTCATTAATATTATTGTAATGTAGAACAACCCCATTTGAATAATGGAGCTAATCAATACAGCTATAAATGCCATTTTACTCTCAACATTCAGTCCCCTGGTATTTAATTTTGGCTTTACATTCAAAACACTTTTTTTTTAAAAATCAGGGTATTCACACATTAAAGTATTTATTTTGACTGTTTGGGGATTAATGTTTTGACAGCTCTGAAGGGGTCGAACTTTAGGCTTTTGAACAGCTTAAGATAAACTGTGGAAAGCTAGAATACTATACATTAAGCATACATGAGTTCTCATCCTTTTGGTCACCAAACCATGCTAATTAATTCTCAGACAAATCCAGCTCCTTGCTTCCAGTAATTTCTTTTGTGTTTCACAACAAGCTCTGGCATTCACCTGAGACATTTTCAATTGGTTACTTCAGTAATTGAGATGTTGACAATATAACAACATCAGATGGACATAAAGGCATCCTAATATCAAGGCCGTTTTTTCCAACAATTCAAATAAATGTCTTTTATTTTCAATCTCATCTCTCCTTCAACTTGCAATAGTTTGTTCAAAAGGTGCCAAATAGCTTTTCATCTCTCCAGTATTAATATCCAGTCTTTAAACACTTACGCATCAACTAAAATAAGCATGTCTTTTGGAGATGCAGCTCCTTGGATGTACCTGAAATAAACAAATGAAAAGGTATGAAAGATAAAAACTTGAAAACACCACTCCAGCATTTGATCAAAAGACCCTGTGATCTCTAAAACCAAGTCTACCTGAACCAAAGGAACTTCTCAATTGTATCTCAGTAGGAAATTCATGCACTGTCACTTTTTCTCATTGCTTCTCCTTCTAGGTAAACGAAGGTTCAAGTAACAATAGCGAGACCTGGAGGTAGGATGTAGGAATTCACTATTCTTGTATGTCGACAACAGAGAGGGGTGAATAGGATTTGACAGCTAAATATATCTTGATGACAAGTTAGCAGGCGAATTATTCCAGCAGCCCAACTCAGGCAAAGATTTTTTTTTTAAATGAGAGTACAGTAAAATGTGGCAAGAGTGACTACTCATGGGAATTAGTAAATGTGGTTGCTTGTAAGATGTCGTTTCTCTTCAAAGGAATGGCACTGCCACCTTTACTTCTGAACTGCTGCTGGGAGGCCAGACAGCAGTTTCTTCATAGTTAAATTATAGGGGGGAAAAGGTTCTGTGGCCTCTGCAAGTAGTTGCTCGTGACAGGTGGTCTCTCTTCAGAGGTGGTCACTCAGGCAGGTTTGACTGTATACTTAACCAATAAAAATGAGCAAAATATAAATGAGAAAATACAGTGAGCAAAAAATGGAATAGTATTCTGATAGAAAAAATGCTCAAAATCGGTACTGAAAAAGAGCATTTTAAGAGAATGTCCACTGCTCTGGTGACCGTAGTACTAGCCTAACCCTCTAGGGCTGTGTTTGTAAATCATTCTGGAAAACAGAATGATTCATTTTGATCATCCTAATTTGGTTTGGTTTGGTTTGTTGCCTTCAGTCCAAGTGTTTAATGGTCTTATCGTTACGCCACCTGGGTATTTGTCTTTATCATGAAAATTCCTTCTGTATAGCAATATGGTATTGCATACATGTCACCTACCCAGAAAGCTGAACTGGGCTTACAAAGAAAGTGAAAATATTTTAAAATTTGAACTTTTAGTCCTCAAAAATTATCAGAAGAGCGTTTAGTGTAGTGTTTAGTACATATTTACTATTGATTTTGTTCTTTATCAGAATATGTACTACGTTGACAATTTCACGTGCTTCATTCCTCCGAAGAAAGCTTACCATGGTCTTCTGCGAACATCATATAGATCTATCTTGTTTGGAGTTCGGCTTTTATCTACCCATGGGGAGGCTAAAAATGAAAGAAGATATATTGTACTCATTTCAGTATATTGCACATTATTTGAATAAAGTAACAGAATGCTAAAGACTTTTCGAGAACATTAAAAACCCCTTTAATATTTGGTATATCAATATTTCACACTATTAGTACTATATAAATAATTACATGTGGTAGGAAGTTAGAATGTTCTTTATCTTCTTACACTTTACTAAAAATATTGTTTTTATTAAAACAGTTCAAAGGGAAGTACTGCCATTGACTTCAATGGTGCCAGGATTTCACCCAAAGTATTTTTGGGATTGGAGATAACCTTTTAGGACAAGCAGATACTTTATAAAACAAACTTTTAAAAATATTCTGGTCTCTGGAAATGCAAGCCTGATTCAAAGCTCATTGAAGTTTACAGGAGTCTTTCCACTGATTTAAATGGGCTTTGGCTGAAATCTCTGATTAGGAAACAGATATGTAATGAAAGTATCCTGAAAATGACGTGCAACTAAAGTATGAAGGTCTGCAAAACTGCAGAAGAGGGAAATCTGAAGAAATCAGGAAGATTCTTAATCTTTGTAATACATCAGCCCCATTGCCCTCTACACAAACAGATCGAGGCAAGCTATTTCCAGAGGATAGAGATATTAACAATTTCTCTCTCTGCACTTTTGGAATCTGGAGAGCCTTCAAGCGGTTAAGCAAAGCAATAAAGATACTTGGGACAAATTCTGATGTCGGGTACAACAGTATAAATCCAGAATAACTAGTTACCAACAACCCATTTTCAAATGTACCATCAACATTATCACTATTTATTACTGAGTACCAATAATAGGACCAATCTCTGAGTAAAGTCGGGGATGATGATCTTCATGTGATGGACAAAGGAGTTCTGTCCCTCCTGATGATATTAGATTGTATGCTTGTGACAATCTCCCTTTCCAAAATTTCAAATAGTTTATCTGTCCTCTTTCCCATCTCTCAAGTCACATTGACTTCCACTAAGTCTTTCTAAAATGACCACTATCATTTTTAACATAGGCCATATATTATTTTTGTCTGAACTAAAGAGTAAGCTCCTTGGGGCAGGGAACACATATTGTTATTTACGCAGCACCAATTGCATTATTGGTGTTCAATAAATAATTATAGAGAACTTTAAAAGTATAAACACACATACAAGATAAGGTGAACCTGATCCAAGAATTCAGTTCCAAACTTCTCTGAACTTTAGGTAAGTTCATATCCAATCTGAGCTTTGTAAGTTAGGCTTATCTCTACACAAAAGCTAAATATAAAGCAGTTATATACCAATGTACATAGAGAACCCGGATATGAGTTACTGTGCATTCAATTAATAAAGGAGTATAATGATTCTATATTGTTAATGACCACTGTCTGCATTGGCATCTGACTATCCAAATACAAACACTTGCACAAGGTGCAACCCACAAAACATAAAAACAAAAATATATACCACTTTGATTCATAGAGAAAACACACAGCACAGTCTTCTACACCACAACAGCTTCATACATGAAATTTCCAGGTTTGAGTGAATATTATTTTTAAGAATGACTGGACTTCAAATTTCTGAGCAAGTTTGGCAGCATTTACTGAGATATGCAAAGACTTAACACACAGGACAACAGCAATTCATTAATTTTGATGCCCTGATGGAACAATAATTTGTGTTTGCTTAGTGTTGATTATATCTAGTTTCATATTTCACATTTTGTGACCCACACAGACTAATTCATTTATTAAAATCTGATCTGAAGATTCTTGCTTGAAATACTCCCTCTTGGAGTTGAGAAATTTGTATTTAATTTATTCATTTAGGTTTATTTAAATTGTATAGCCTAGGCACACATACAAAATGTAATTCAAAATACAAACAAAATCGAACTGTACTGATGCCCACAGTTACAGACCTTGCCCATGGAATACAAAATCATCCCTTACCAAGCCCTCCCACCCAATCAATGTCTCCTTGAGAAAGTCTGGGAGAGCAGACAGTTGAGGGAGGTCCATTAATATCAACCCAAAGCCTCTTTAAAAGAATCTTGGTTACGTCATTAAATTATAATAATCCTGAGCAATTTGTTGTGATAATTGAATTGGAAAAATGCTTGGATTTGCCAAGTGGTCAGTTTTATTTCAGATAAAAAAAAATAGGTCCGATGCCTTAATTGCTATCTGCAATCTTATGTTATGATTATTGGTAATTCAGATAGAAGATGAAAGATTGTCCTACACAAGAGTTTTTCTAACCCTAGTCTTTTGTGCTACGAATGTAGAGATTTGGGCTTTTATTTAAGATGGAATCAATCTTTTGAAGGGGTATAGATTAATAGACTATATCCTCAGCTCATCAACTCATAGACTTTAAGGCCAGAAGGGACCATAACGATCATCTAGTCTGATTGCCTGTATATTGCAGGCCACAGAACCTCACCTACCCCCTCCTGTAACAGACTCATAAGCTTTGGCTGAGTTACTGAAGTCCTCAAATCATGATTTAAAGACTTAAAGTTACAAAGAATCCATCATTTACTCTAGTTTAAACCTGTAAGTGAACCATGCCCCATGTTGCAGAGGACCGTGAAAACCCTCCAGGGTCTCTGCCAACCTGACCTATGGAAACTTCCTTCCTGAACCCAAACATGGTGATCAGCTGAACCCTGAGCACGTTGGCAAGACCCAGCAGCCAGATACCTGGGAAAGATTTCTCTGTAATAACTCATTGCCCTCCCCATCTCATGTCCCATAGCTGCCATTGAGGATTTTTGCTACAAGCAGTCACAGATGGGCACCATGCCATTGTAGGCAGTCTCATTATACCGTCCCTGCCATAAACTTATCAAGCTCAGTTTTTAAGCTAGTTAGTTTTTTTTGCCCCCACTGCTCCCCTTGGGAGGCTCTTACAGAATTTCACTCCTTTGATGGTTAGAAATCTTTGTCTAATTTCAAGCCTAAATTTGTTGATGGCCAGTTTATATCCATTTGTTCTTGTGTCAACAATGATGCTAAACTTAAATAACTCCTCTCTCTCCCTGGTATTTATCCCTCTGGTGTATTTATAAAGAGCAATCATATCTTCCCCTCAGCCTTTGTTTGGTTAGGTAAAACAAGCCAAGATCCTTGAGTCTCCTCTCATAAGGTACGTTTTCCTTCCCTCTGGTCATCCCAGTAGCCCTTCTCTGCACCTGTTCCAGTTTGAATTCATCTTTCTTAAATATGGAAGACAAGAATTGTACACGGTATTCTGAAAGAGGTCTTGCCTTATATAATGGCAATAACTTTTCCCTATCTCTACTGGAAATACCTTGCTTGATGCATCCTAGGATTATTTTAGCCTTTTTCATGGCAGCATCACATTGGTGACTCAGTCATCCTGTGATCAACCAGTACACTCAGGTCTTTATTCTTCTGTGTCGCTTCCAACTGATGTGGCCCCAGTTAACAGCAAAAAAATGTGTTAGTCCCTAAGTGCATGACCTTGCACTCTGCCTATTAAATTTCTATTACTCCAGTTTTCAAGGTCCTCCAGATCTTCTCCAGTTTAACAAACAATTTCCCATGTGGAACTGTATCAAATGCCTTACCGAAATCGAAGTGTATTAGATCTACTGCATTTCCTTTGTCTAAAAAATCAGCTATCTTCTCAAAGAGATCAGGGTGGTCTAGCATGATCTACCTTTTGTAAAACCCTGTTGTATTTTATTTAGGGGCTGTTTATCTCTATGTCTTTAACTACTTTCTCTTTCAAAATCTGTTCCAAGACTTTGAATACAGTTGAAGTCAACCCAATGGTCCTGTAATTTCTCAGATCACGTTTCTTAAAAAAAAGGTATTATATCAGCAATTCTCCAGTCATAAGGTATGACCCCTGATTTTACAGATTCAGCTGGTGCAAACTGGCATAACTCCAATGAAGCCCATAACATTATGCTGATTTAAACTACCCGAGGATCTCGCCCAGATATAGCGAAATGTTTCATTTCATGAAAATGATAATATAATTTAAGTGACAAATACTTCTTTTTTAAACCAAAAATTCTGGATGCTCCAGAGGAAGAGACAGTGCATGTAGATTTCCATGGCCTAATGGAATCCACAGCCCTGAGTTAGGCTCCCAGGCTCCCTATACAAAGCATGGGGAAAGTTAGAAGCCTAAGAATGGGATCCAGAAAGGCCAGCATGCTGAGCAGAGACATGCCTTAACTAGCCAGTAGGAAATGCCGAAGAGAGGGCTGTGGCCTAAGTGTCACCTAAGCCCAGGGGGAGGGAGGCACATATCTCCACTTGGGATTCGCGGCCTTCAGGCCTGTTCTGGAGTTATGCACCTACATTTTTTCTTGCAAAAAACTGTTGTGGTGGTGCTACTTCCATCCTTATAACTTTTACCCCAGGAGTTAGAGCATTCACTAAGGATGAGGAAGGCCCAGGTTTAATTCAGGGACTTGAATTGGGTCTCCAACATCAGAGGTTTCTGAGGCGCCCCCCACAATGCTATAAAAACTCCACAGCCCAGCTGTGCTACAACAACTGTTTTTCACCATATAAAAAACAGGGCTGACGAATGGCAACTGCCTGGGGCCCCTCACCACAGGGGGCACCTCGAAGCTAACTTGCTCCATCTTTGGCTTCAGTCCTGTGGGCTGGGGTTCAGGGCCCTGGACTGCTGTCCCGCGTGGTGAGGCTTTGGCTTCTGCCCTAAAATGCTGACTTTACCCACATTTATGTTTTTTCCCTCAATGTTTCTATCAAATACCCCTCAAAGTCACTAAAGACTTTTCATTCTGCAATTATTTTTTTTATGCACCAGAATTAAAGTAAACATGAAACTTCAAATTCTACAACTTCCTGCCAATGTGCATAGATTCACCCCCCCCTTTTATTTGGCACAATTAATGATATGCCGTCAACTGGTTTAGATAACACCCCCCTCCCCCCAAATAAGCCACACACAGTGGTTACGATTCAAGCAAAATTCCATGAGCTCTACACTGTAA